AAGGATTAAATAAAGTTCTAGTTATTAAGAATAAGTCCAATTATAAAACTACTATTTAAATAAAAGGAAAAAAAAAAACTAAATTAAAATTTTTTAACCAGATGGGGAAGAAATTAATTATTAAAGTCCAAAAAAAAATAAAAAAAAAACAATAAAAGTATCAAATGTAATTTTTGTGTAAATAAATAGTAAATAATTGGATGATGATATTGCTGTTGATGAAGATGAAAATTAAAATATAGAATAGGAATAAAGTTTAGGTTTAATTTAATTAAATGAAGATATATAGAAAACTTAATAAAATGAAAATATAGAAAAAAATGAAATTGTTGAAAAAATAACAAAGAAAATTTAGAAAAAAGTAGGAATTTATTGAAAATATACCAACCTAATAAGAAGAATAAAATATGAATAATATTTTAATTAATGATATAACTTAAGAGGATATTCCTTAAATAAAGCAATAGAAATATATTTCTGAATTTGATTAAATTGAAAGCAATAGTATATAATTTTTTTAAGAAACTTAATGCCAAGAATAGATAGGTTAATTTAATTTAAATAGTTAGAATTCGGAAGAAAAGGAAGAAGAAGAAGAAGAAGAAGAAGAAAATAAAAGATTTCTTAAAAAAGAGATTCCTATTAATTTTGTGTAATAATAAAATTAAGAATTTGATAAAAAAAATTAAGACGATTTTCAATTTATCAATTCTTTTATAGAAAATAGTCAAATATCTAATATTTCATAAAAATAATATGATGAGTTAAATTTATATGAAAAAAAAGAATTTAATTTTAAAAAGGAAAAACAAATAGAAGTTTAATAATAATAATATGAACAGGAAAAAAAACAAAAAGATGATTTAATATAAGAAATAATTAATAGAAGTTTATCTATTTTAAATTAAAACAAAAACGAAAATAATGTAAATTTATAATAAGAAAATAAAGAATAAAAAAATACTTTTTAGTAATAATAACAATAAAAACTAAATGAAAACAACTAAAATTAATAGTATGATGTTTAATTTGATAATAAAAGAATAGATTTGAGTACATAATTATAAGATTCTTTAATTTAAGTATATCCAAATATTGAAGAAATAAAGCTTTAAAATACTTTACATTTAAATAAAGAAAAAGACTTTCTAGAAAAAGTTTTCATCAATAAAGATCTATATTTATTAGACATTAATTATAGAAAAAACGAATACATTTAAAATTTGGATTAAGTATGTAAATTAAAAGAAGAATGTTAATAATTGCATTTGCAAAATAAGAAATTTATTAATGAAAAGTTATATGACTACGAATATTTAAATATTATAAAACATAAAGATTAATAAATAGAGAAAAATAAAATTTATTGCGAATAATATATTAATATGATAAATAGTTAAAAAGAGTAAATAAAATTACTTTGTGAATAAAAATTATAACATGAATAATAAATCAAAAACGCATATATTTAAAATAATAATAATTATGAATAGAAATATTTTGATTATTTACATTAATTTTAGCAAATGAAACTTTATGAAATTTAAGATAAACTTATTGAAAATCAAAAAAATTAAAAATTATTAATTAAAAATTAAATAAATGAAGAAAAAAAGTTACAATCAATACTAGAAAATTCAAAAATAAAAAAATATAATCCTATTATTTTCTAATAAAATAAAGAATAAAGTGATATTTTAAGTTAAAATTTGCCTTATTTTTCCTCTAAAAATAACTTAAATTAGTAATTAATGTTTAGCAACATTAATACTAATAATGGTTAAGTAAAAGAATAAAGTATTTTAAATAAATCTCCAGTTTCTTAAAACTTAAATGAAATAGGAAAGTTTAATTTTGAAAATTAATTTTAAAATGGTCTATAAAGAGATTTATTAGAAAGTACAAATAAAAGACCTTAAAAAAGCAATGATTAAACCCCTCTAAATTTAGGAAATACTTTTTTGTATGAATAAAAAAGTCCTACTTAGATTATAAAAAATGACACTAATTTTAATTTTTCAGGCTATATGAATAATTTAAATGATTAATCAACAAATTTATAAATTCAAAATGTACAAAGTATATAGCATTATAATTATAAAGATTTAAAAGGAATATAGATTGATAGAAAAGTAAATTAAGATTAGAAACTATTATAAAATATATAAGACAACAATCAAGAATAATAATTTTAATAAACATATAAATAAGTAAATGATTATTAAAATGCATGTAATTTTAAATATAAATAATAAATTAGTAATAAGGTTTGCTTAAATGAAGAATATATATAAAATAATTCGTATAATTATTAAGAAAATAATAGTCCTTTAGTTGTGTTTAATTTTAAAGGTAACTCTTTTTAAAATAATGAAGGTTATATAAATTAAAATGTTTAAGATATAATTAATAAATATTAAAATATTTAATAAAAAGAATATCTCCGAAATAATAAAGATGAAATATGTATAAATAATTATAAATATCCATTATTTTAAAATATAAATATATATAATTTAAATAAAGTGTAATAGTGATTTCTTTTATAAACTTTTCATGGATTTGGACTTTATAAAAAATATGTATTTAATTAGTTAATTGCTAAGTAAAATCTGTAATATACGAAATAATTTTATTTCATTTATATATTTTTATATAATTTTTTTATTTATTAATATAAATTTTAATTTTTTAGTAAATATTTGTTTTAAAACAAAAATTTATATATTATAAATATTTAATTTTTAAAATATATTCTCAATATAAAAATATTAAATATATTTTAGTTATATATATTTTATAAAGAAATTAAATTAATTAAAATAAAATGGATTTATAACAAAATATTATATAAAATTAACTTAATAAATAAGAAAACGAGTTATTTAATTACATCGTGATTGACCAAATAGATTATTGTATAGGTAATCCTTCTGTAGAATAGATTTTTGGAACACTTTATTTGTATTAAAATTTAAAAAATTAATAAATTTAAAGCCTAAAACAAAATGATTTGATATAAAAATAAAAAAGTTAGTGTGAATATTTATAAAATAATGTTTTGGTAGTATTAGGTATTCCCAATTCTAAAAGTCCGATTGAATTTTGTGAGTTTATAAAAGAATATTTACATGAAATCAACGAATTAAGAATTATTAAGATACAATCAAGCAACAATTATTATGGAATATTTTTATTTTTTAATCAAAGTAAAGATATATATATATGATTTAAAATATCTTTTTTATATATATTTATATTTTAAATATTTAATTTATAGTTGAAAAGTGTCAATAATTTTATAAATATAATTTCGGCTAGAAATTTAATAATATAGAAGATGATATATGTATTATACGATAAGTTTAATTTATAACAATAAACTATAATTAAAAAAATATAAACAAACTTGATAATCGAGAATAACAGAATATATAATAAATTCAATAAAACAAAAATAAACAAATTCCTCATAATTTATAAATGAAAAATAATCTAAATATAAATATAATAGATGAAAAAGTAATATAAAAAATATATAAATACAAACAAAATTAATTTTAAAAAAGAATAATAATTGCGCAATTTGTTTTGAATAATTAACAATATTAAAAAATAAAGGTTCACCATAAATTAAAACAGAAACTAACTTAAAATAAAATAAAAAGATTTAATATTAATAAAATTCTCATAAAAAAAACTTATAACAAAACGATTGTATAATAAGTATTTTATGTAGTCACTATTTTCATTTTTAATGTCTTAGTAAATGGTAAGATTCCACTTGTCCATTATGTAGATATCATTAGTAACCTCCAGAATAAAGCTTTTGTGAAGTTTGTTAAAATACTGAAGCATTATCTATTTGTCTTATTTGTGGAAGCATTAATTGTGGTTTTGAGTTCAACTAAACTTCTCATTTAAAAATGCATTTTGGATAAACTAAGCATACTTATTCAATGGAAATAGAATCGAAATTTGTTTATGATCATTTAAATGAAGTTTTTGTACATAGATTATTATAAAATATTATTGATGGAAAAATTGTTGAACCAGATAATTAGAATAAACATATTAAAAGTGAATAGTTGTTAATGGAATTCGAATAAATTATGAATAATGAATTAGAAATTTAAAAATAATATTTTACAAACATAATTAAATAATTAAAAAATGGTTAAACTAAGTAACTTTTTTTTTATATATATAAATATAATTATATATAAAAATTTTAAAATAAGAAAGTAATATCTGAATAATAAGTAATAATTGGTTTAATAATATTAACAAGAATTTTAAAAATTACAAGAAGAAGAAAATACTTTAAAAGAAGAAGAAAAATAATTTGAAGAAATTAAATAAAAATTTTATTCTTTAAATTAATAGAAAAACAATATTTAAAAAAAAGAATAAAATTTATCATAATAGTTTGAAATAATTCAAAAAAACGATAATTTAAATTAAGAAAATGAAAATGATTAAATAAAATAAATAAACTATTAAATTTAATAAACAAAAGCAGAAGTATATATAAATAAAATATAAAGTAATATATAATATATTATAAAAAAAAAAAAAAATATTTAAAAAAAAAAAAATTAAATATAAAGATTAAAGATATATAAAATCATATTAAAGCAAATAATTAATTAAACAATATTGGAGAAGATATAAAGAATTCTGCTTTATTATTAATAGGAGGAAAATAATAAAATAAAAAAAATAAAAATAAAAAAAAATGAGAATAGTATAAAATATATATTTTAAATATTATTTAAAAACCATTATTATTGTTTTTTAATTATTAAAAAATGAAAATAAAAATTTCAAAAATTTAATTTTTAAAATATATTTAAATATAACAATCTAAATTAAATTAGTTAAAAATAAAAAAAATTAGAAAAATAATATAATATAGAAAAATAAAAACAAAGAAAAGAAAAATATTTATAAATAGTATTCGAAATAAACATTTATTTTTATAATAAATATATAAAAAAATGATTTCAGAAACTAAAGGTTCAATTGCTACACCTTTATCAAAATATAAATTGGTGTTTTTAGGAGATTAAGCGGTTGGAAAAACATCAATTATAAATCGTTTTATGTTTGATACATTTGATGGAAAAGATCATGTAAAAATAAATTATTTTTAGTTATTGAAAAAAAAAAAAAACAAAACAAAAAAAGCCAACTGTTGGTATAGATTTTATATCTAAAACACTCTATTATGAAGATAGAACTATAAGATTATAATTATGGGATACTGCAGGATAAGAAAGATTTAGAAGTTTAATACCTTCTTATATAAGAGATAGTGCAGTAGCAGTTATATGTTATGATATAACAAGTATTTTAATCATAATATAAAAAAATTATATTTTTCTATTATTTGTATATAAAAGAACATTATTTTTACAAAAAAAAATATATATATATGTATAAAAAAAAGATAAATCATCATTTGAAAATATAACAAAATGGGTTGAAGATGTACGTGCTGAAAGAGGTCAAGAAGTAATAATTTGTTTAGTTGGTAATAAAACTGATATGCAAGATAAAAGGTATTGATATATTTTATTTTTATATATTTTTTGTAATTTAATAGAGCTATTCAATAACAAGAAGCATAATAAAAAGCAAAAGAATTAGATGTGAAATTCTTTGAAGTAAGTGCTTTATCAGGAGATAATATTTAATAACTTTTTAAAGCTATTGGAGGCATGTTACCAGGAGCAGAAATTTCACAAATTGGATAAAATTAACCAGCTAGTTAATCTGGTTAAAATACAAATTGTAATAAAAAAAAAATTAATATACTTTATATATATATAAAAATGATTATAAAAATAATATAAATATATATAAAAATATAAATAAATATAAAAATATATATATAATTATATATATTATATATATATATATATATATATATATATAAATATTTTTATTAATTAATAAAATAAAAATAATAGAAATTGAAAATAAAGGAGGAAATATTTAATTAGATCTTAAAACAGCTATAGATAATGAAGACAATGGGCCTAAGAAAAAATGTTGTTGAATAATAAAAGTATATTAAAAATCATATATAAAATTTTATTAGAAAATAATTATATAAATAAATGTCTTATATTTAAAAATATCAATAATATTGTAAATTTATCTGTAATTTAATTTTTATTATTTTTTTTATATATTTATTAATTAATTAAAACTTGAATTTATTTTGGTATTAAATATTTATATTTTTTTTACTTTTAATATATTAAAATATTAATTATGAATTTGCATTATTTTCATGAAAATACAATTTTTTATATATATTTTAATAAGGATTTTTTTTTAATTATATACTTAACTTATTTTATATATTAAATATTATCTTATTCATTAATATTTTCAATGTTTAATGTATTTATAAATAATAAGCTAAAATTTATATATATTTAAGGCTTTAATAATATTTATTTATGTAAGATATATTATAAATATAAAAAATCAATCAGCAAACATTTATTTTTTATTAGAAAATAAATTATATATCCAAAAAAAAAAAAAAAAAATTAAAGTTCTATTTTCTTTTATATTAATTAATAATTTTATCATAATTAAAATATTTTTTAATATGATTTAGTATATCTTAAATAAATAAAATTGGTAATAAGAATTAAATAAAAAAAAATATATAAAATTAATTAGTTTTATAATTAATATTATTATATTTGTATAATGAAAATAAAATAATATATAAAAATAATATAAATATATATATAAATATTTATTAATAATATATATATATATATATATATATATATATATATACATATACATATATATATCATAAAAAATAATTATTATATATTAAAAAGGAAAACAATTGATAAAATATTAATTATAATATAACTCAAAAAAATATACACATATTTATCTAAAGAAAAAAAAAATTAAAATAAAAATAACTAATATAAAAATAATAAATGAAAGTATCTATTATAATAAATTATAAATTTATAAATTATTATATTTTAATTCAAATATTAATAAAAAAAAGAATCTTAAAATTTATTTAACTAATTTTTAGTGCGAATATATTAATTCTATTTTACCCAAAAGATATTCAATAAAATAATAAAAGACTGCGAAGAAAATAAAAGTATCAATTATTAATAAATAAAATATATAATAAAATATAAAATAAATAGTCATGTAAAAAAAATGATCGATATTATAATGAACCTGAATAACTTAAAACAAAAAATGAAAGATAAATATAGTTGATAAAAAACAAAAGCTAAAATATTAATATATAAAATTATTAATAATAAAAAATTAAAAAGACAAAAAAAGTAAAATTATATTAGAATTTATAAAATAATAAATAAAATACAGTATTTTCATTTTTAAAAATATAATAATAAAATATTATAAAAATATATAAAATGTATATTAATAAAGTTATAAAAAACATAAAAAATCAATTAGTATATTAAACATTAATAAATATAAAATATGATTTATATAAGCTTTTAATAATTATTTTTAAAGAAATAAATATTTTATAAAACAGATTACTTTATTTATATTATATTACATATGTATGAAACAAATTTATCTATATATTCAATTAATTTAATTTATATTATTTATTTATTTAAATTTTATAGTCTTTAAACATAGGCTTCTTAAAATGATAAAAGTTTAAAAATTCAATAATTATAAAATTAGCCTTAAGTATTGTAATTAATACCTAAATAATAAGAAGATTCATTTTTTAAAAATTAATAAAAAATTGATTATTTCAAGATAAACATTTAAGATATAAGCTAATAATAATTTAAAATAACATAAAACTAACATAATAATGACAAATTTAACATATAAAACGAAAACGCTTAACTTTTAATTCTATAAAATTAATAATAATAATAGTTAATATAAGAATAAGACATCTAAAAAAATTATTAAATAATATTATAATAGCAATAACCATTGAAAATTACATAGGAAAATTAAAATTATGAAATTAATTAATAAGGATCTATTAAAGAATAAATAATAAATAAAAATTATATATAAAATTAAAATAATTATTTTTTAAATCAATAAAATAAGTTATAATCAGAAGAATATTTATAAAATGAACTATTAAAAAATTAATTAAAAATATATAATTAATAATTAAATCCTAATACAAAATAAAAAAAATAATAGTAGAAAAATTAAAAAATGAATAATACTTATTAGTAAAAAGAATAAAAAAATTAAAAAGATAAAGAAAAAGGAATAATTGAATAAAAATAGAAATAAGAAAAGAATATAGAAAATTATGCAAAAGACAATTTGTATAAATAAGAAAGTTTAAAGTAAAAAAATTATAACAAAAATTATAAGTAATAAAATAACATAATTGAAAAACAAAAAAATGATAAGTAAAGAAAAAAATAATTAAAAATATATAATAATTATAAAAATTAAAAAAAAATTAGTAGTACAAATAATTCTTTAATAAATACATTTGAAAAAATGAATGAAAAATAATAATAATAATAATAATAATAATAATAATAATAATAACAATAACAATAACAATAACAATAACAATAACAATAACAATAACAATAACAATAACAATAACAATAACAATAACAATAACAATAACAATAACAATAACAATAACAATAACAATAACAATAACAATAACAATAACAATAACAATAACAATAACAATAACAATAACAATAACAATAACAATAACAATAACAATAACAATAACAATAACAATAACAATAACAATAACAATAACAATAACAATAACATAACATAACAATAACATAACATAACATAACATAACATACATACATACATACATACATACATACATACATACATACATACATACATACATACATACATACATAGCATACATACATACATACATACATACATACATACATACATAC